ATGATGAGAATAGATCTGCTGAATATAACTCTGCACTGGCGACAGGGAGGCATCCGGCCAGTAAACGCTCAGCTCCATTCAGTTGCCCTGCAAGGGATTATGGGGTCATTAAAAGGAAATGATGATGATGATGATGATTAATGTAACAGTTGACCATCACAGCCCTCTGACTGGCCTTCTTACCATGGTTTTCCAGGATTTGTTCCAGTCCTTCTGCCGGGAAGGGGGAAAAAAAATCCTTATGCCCACAACTGGTGCAACAGGTTTTTGTTTTCTGATGCAGCTGCACAATAGGTGCGTCCCTCGAGGATCCTTCTGTTTGTTGGAGTTTTCTCAAGCTCTTCCTTTCTTTTTTGTAGGCCAAATACGACGGAGGGGAGGCAACCATCCCATCCACCATTGGTGAAGAATTCACATACAACCCGTTCATGCGAGTGAGGTAATTTCCCTGTGGCAGGATTGCAGTGGAGAGGCAGCTCTTTTACCAATTGGTTTGGGGTGGAAAAAAATATAGAAGCTGCCCCCTGACACTCAATAGAGCAGCGGTCGCCAACCGGTGGTCCGTGAGAAAATTTTGGTAGGCCACAGAGAAATCTCACCCCCAGAGCATCCCACCAAAGCAATTAATCCAGGCTGTGCAGCCCACATGGCCTGTGGGAACCCTCCCCGCCCACTCACTCCTTACCCGGTAAACTTGCCTGTTAAATTGCTATTTTTCCTTTTTCCGACCATCAGCTGTTCTGCTCTGCTGGGAGATTTAGATTAGCTAGGAAGCAGGAAATGGTTGGATTTCTTGCTTTCTTGCTAGTCTTTAGATCTTCGGCTCTGCTTTTAAGCACAGCTGAACCTCCCTCAGGACTGAAGGTTCTATTATTCAGTGCAGACTCACAGCAAGCAAATTTGAGAGACTGAGCTAGCCGATGGCAGATAGATAGATCACTGAATGATTCTGTGAGCAACTCAATCTGCCTGCCTACTTTGCCTGATTTTGGGTAAAAGTTGCTCTTTTTTAATAAAAAATTCAATATTTATATAAATATTTATAATATTTACATACAAGCCATGCACTCCCACAAATTAGGCCACGCCCACAGAACCGGTTAGTGGTCCCTCGGATTTAAAATTATGATTTTGGTGGTCCCTGAGGTCCAAAAGGTTGGCGACACAAGCAAAAGAGGGTCATAAACTGGTGATATGTAGCAGATAAAGAGCTTTTATTTCAGCCCCAAACGTAGGAACTGTTCTTTTGCTTTTAAAAATTTGTAGTAGCTGATACAAACAATAAATCCAGTGGATATAAAAAAGCCTACACACACACACACACACACACACTGTTAAAAGTGCCAGGTTTTTGAGATTTAAAATAATCCGAGATAAATCATTCCAATATTTCATCCCCCTTTAAATAATCTATACATATAAAAGCAAAATGACACTCACGCATCATCATAAAATCTCCAGAACCGTAAAGCCTACAAACTTGAAATTTGGCACGTATGTTCCTCTTGGCTTCTTGGTGCTCACTAAGAAAGGATTTCTCAAAATGACTGTTCCTCCTCTTCCTCATCAGCCACCTCCAGATCTGGGGGCTGTTGACTCTCCATCTGGGGGCTGATGGACGGCCCAGGCTCCGCTGCTGTCTCTCTCTCTGACAGCTCCACTCCCTCCTCCCCCCTCGGAGCTCTCGGGTTGCCTTGATGCTGACCCTGACTCCCATGTCCCCTCCTCCTCCTCCTTTGATTCAGCTGCTGGAGGGGCCGGCGGCCAACAGGACACAACACGTGTGGACTTCAATTCCCAGAATTCCCCAGCCAACTACCAGTACGTAGCTGGGGAATTCTGGGAGTTGAAGTCCACCCGCCTTAAAAGATGCTTGAAGTTAAGACAGGTGCTTAACTATTGCATCAATAAAGATAAATTGTTTGCTGAATCAAGTACCTCCCAGCATTCTGCCGTCCTGTGCAGCTAGGGACACAACCCAGAAAGGAGTAAGAAGTATCCCCTTACTTGTGAATTGCTGTAGCCTCCCCTGCCCACTGGGGGATTCTGGGAATTAATCAGTCCAACTCACGTGGAGGTTGCCCAGCTGGGGAATATGATGAAAACTCCCAGGTTCAGAGGTGGTATTCAGCCAATTCTGACCGGTTCTGGAGAACCGTTAGCGGAACTTTTGAGTAGTTTGGAGAACTGGCAAATCCCGCCTCTGACTGGCCCCGCCCCCATCTATTCTCTGCCTCCCATTGAGTTCCAGCTGATTGGCTGGGTCTTCTTTTGTTGCCCTGCACAGGAGAACGGAGCTGGAAAGCAGGTTAGTGGGGTGGGGAGAGAATTGGGGATTTTGCAGTATATCCTTCCCCTGCCACGCCCATCAAGCCACGCCCACAGATCCAGTAAAAAAAAAAAAACCTGAATCCCACCACCGCCCAGGTTCCCCTAACGAGTCTTTTTTCCTTTCTGGACAGAGAAGCAACGGTGCAGCATCACGTCCGGGAAACGGATCCCGTTCGTACCATGGGAGCCATTCGCAGAGAGAAAGACAGCTTTAAAGTGCCGAAAGATTAAATGAACCAGATCCCCTGCTGCTTTTTTCTTTTCTTTTCTTTCTTTTTCTTTCTGTTATTCAGTTCAGGAAATCGGGGTTTCATTGTTCTGTTTTATTGAGTTAATTCACATAATGGAAGTCGGGGGTGGGTGGGGGGGAGGGAAATATCACCCAAAGCACTTTGCTGTTTAAAAAAAGAAATTATTGTGCCCTTGGGACTCAGTTGATTAATATTAGCATTATTTGTATTATTATTATTATTATTGGAGTGATGCATGGAAGTGGTTTTTGTCATTGGGTTCCAATGAAAACAGATTTTCTTCCAGTGATTGAGGCTTTCTGGGAAGGTGACTTGGAACCATCTGCCTCTGGAGTCGAAATGCACATTCGAAAGGCTCCGTGATTTCCCTAAACTTCAAAACGAACCTTTCCTGCTACTCCAAATGCTCCTTCCACATCTAACACGTTTGCAAATCGGACAACGCTGTTCCCCGGAGCGCATGTGCCTGTCTCAGGGGAACGAAGCAGCAGGCTGGGAAACCCAATGGAGGAGAGACGATGTTGCAGGAGCAAGTAAATAAAGAGGCGTTTGTATATCTTTAAATAGGAAAATGGCAATTGTTTTAGCAGCACAGCACTTTAAAAAGGAAAACAAACAAACAAACTTAAAATCTATTTTGACTGGTCGTGGCTTCAAACCAGAAGTGATTTTAGCAACTTCGAATATTTTTCTCAGCACTCTGGGAAAACTCTGAAATTTCAGAGATCCTTGTATGCTGGGGAAGTAGTGACAGTAGAAAACTGTGTATTCTTTCTTTCTTTTGGCTTTATTTAAGCTGCCATGGCAGAGTTGCACTTGCAAAGCCTTCATTGTTAGACAACCTCCTTCTCTAAGCTTGAATTGTCATTCCCCGTTGATTCAGCTAATGTACATGTAAATAAATATTATATCTAATAAATATTACTTTAAGAGATTAAGACTTTGAAAACCTTCATTACCCCATCTGCCTTGGAAACCCTAAGATGGAGTCTGGCTAAAGCAGAGGTCGCCAATCTTGGCAACTTTTAAGACTTGTGGACTTCAACTTCCAGAATTCTCCAGCCAGCAAAGACCCTCTAAAACAGGTGTCTCCAACCTTGGCGAACATTGAGCAAAATGATCTGCAGCTCAATGGAAATTTGAGGAAGCGGCAATCTGTAAGAGGATAAATAAAAATATTGCAATTAGGGTTGGGGATCCTGTGCTGACTGTGTTAATGGAATAAACTATTGAAACAAGCCTGAAAAAAAAGAGAAAGACAACTCAAGGCCTCCAGTTTCCATCTATCCTCATTTTTTGCAACTTCTTTTACTGGGCCTCTTGAGGATAAATCTGGGTTCCCAAGTAATGAAAGTGGCTGTCACAGAGAGGAGTGGGGTCAAGCTATTCTCCAAAGCACCCGAAGGCCAGAGAAGGAGTAATGGATGGAAACTGAACAGGGAGAGATTCAACCTGGAAATAAGGAGAAATTTTCTGACAGTGAGAGCAATCAAGCAATGGAACAGAAGTTGCCTTCAGAAGAACTTCATCCCTGGAAGCTTTCAGAAAGAGACTGGACAGTCATCTAGCAGAAATGGTGTAGGCAGGAGAGTCTACTTGGGTGGGGGGTTGGACTAGATGACCTACAAGGTCCCTTTCAATTCTGTTAATCTATTAATTCATCAGCGGAACAGCCTGCCTCGAGAATTTGTGGATGCTCTTGTCATGGGAAGCTTTAAAGAAGAGCAGACAAGCATTTGGCCAGGATGGTTTCCTGCTTCGGGCAGGAGGTTGGATTAGAAGACCATCATGGCCCCTCTTCCAGCTCTAGGATTTTATGAAGCCACCAAGTCATCTCTCTTTTGTTTACAGAGAGAAAATTTTAATTGCCTTTGGTCTCCAAAAACTTAGGTTGCTTACTAGTTTACTTTGGGGTGGAAAACCACCAGGGAATATCAGTGGTTGCCCCTAGAATAATAAGAGTTGGAAATTGGAAGGGACTCTGGAGGTCTTCTAGCCTAACCCCATAATAAACTCCATAATAAAGTCTGGACCGCTAGGAAACAGGAGGGTGGATGCGTGTTCTCAATTGTTTCTTTTATAGTTGAAAATCAAAGAATGTTGGAACAGAAAACAGAATAGGATAGGCAAGCCTTGGAAGGGACCTTGGAGGTTAGAATGGAACAGGAATAGAGAAGAGGTGAACAGACAGTAAAGAATAGAACAGAGAACAGAAAAGAATAATAGTTGGAAGGGACCCTGGAGGTCTTCTAGTGCAACCCCCCCCCCCTCCGGCTCAAGCAGGAAACCCCGTAGCAGTGCTCCTCAACCTTTCCAGTTTGCCGTCCCCGCCCGCGGCTCTTCTGCGGAGAAGAGGCGTTCTGCGCATGCCCGGAGGCAAGAGGGGAGGGAGTGGGCGGCGGAGGCGGTTCCACCCAGCCTCCCGGAGGGCGGGGCTTTTCGTTGGCTGCGGCGGCTCGCCAGGCAAGGGGAGGGCAGAGGGGGCGGGAGGGGGAAGGTGGGGAAGAGTCGCGGGGCGGGGGTCTAGCAAAGTCTCCCGTGGGGGGCGGGGGGAGGCCTGTGTAGGGCCGGGGCAGCTTGGCCTCCCAATTCAGCTGTTGTTCCCAGCAGCTTCCTCTAGACAGGAGCGGCGCCTGGCCGCTTTAAGAAGGGCGGACTTCAACTCCCAGGATGCCCCAGTCGGTGCCTGGGCTGAGGAATTCTGGGACTTGAAGTCCGCCCATCTCAAGAGTGGCCGAGATTGAGAAACGCTGGGCAGGAGTCGAGAGGGTGGCTGGCAGAGCGCCGGAGTTTCAGCTTCTTGGGGCGGGGGGGAATCACCCCCTTTGCTGGTTTCCTCCCGCCAAAGGTCGTGGATCCTCGGGCATCCTTCCCCAGCTGGAATCCATTCGATTCAGCTGGAAGGGATCCTGGAGGTCATTTAGTCCAGCCCCCTGCTCGAGAAAGGAGACCCTGTACCATTTCAGACAAGTGGCTGTCCAGTCTCTTCTTCCTCTGTCCTTCTCATGTTGGACTCCCAGACCCCCATTTTCAGTCCATCACTGGCCCAGTCCAGACTGAAAGCACTTTTGCCTGAAGTAGCTGGTTAAGGCAGGAAATACAGATTATACAGAATAATAAGTGCAGAAGCGCACCATCGTGCCTACCGTCCCCTGTCCTTTTGTTCCCATTTATTCGTACCCATTTCCTGTATTCTTACTCATGTTTATACTTACACCTATTATCTTGTAAGCAATTGACAAACCAAATCAAATAAATAAAAAATAAATAGAATAAGTGTCAGAAGGGACCTCGGAGGTCTTCTAGTCCAACCCCCTGCTGAAGCAGGAGACCCCCAAACCATTTCAGACAGGTGGCTGTCCAATCTCTTCTCAAAAACCTCCAGTGATGGAGTGAGTACCTACAACTTCTGAAGGCAAAGCTGTTCCACTGATTTATTGTCCTCACTGTTAGGAAATTTCTCCTTAGTTCTAGGTTGTTTCTCTCCTTGATTAGTTTCCATCTATGGCTTCTTGTCCTTCCCTCTGGGGCTTTGGAGAATAATTTGGCCCCCTCTTCTTTGTGGCAGCCCCTCAAGTACTGGAACACTACTATCATGTCCCCCTCTAATTCTTTTTTTTCTTTAGACTAGCCAGATCCAAATCCTGCAGCCATTCTTCATAAGGTTTAGCTTCCAGTCCCCTAATCATCTTTATTGCTCTTTTCTGCACTTTTCCCATAGTCTCTATATCTTTTTTATAATATGGTGACCAAAACTGGATGAAGCCTTCCAAGTGTGGTCTTACCAAGGTTTCATCTGAAATCCCTCCTAGATCAGGACTAAATCATTCCACTGATTTATTGTTCTGACTGGCAGGAAATTTCTCCTTAGCTCTAGGTTGCTTCTCTCCACGATTACTTTCCATCCCTTGTTTCTTGTCCTGCCCTCAGGTGCTTTGGAGAATAGCTTGACTCTCCCTCTTCTTTGGGGCAGCCCCTCAGATATTGGAAGGTTGCTACCATGTCACCCCTAGTCCTTCTTTTCTCTAGACTAGCCAAACCCAAATCCTGCAACCGTTCTTGATATGTTTTAGTCTCCAGGCCTTTAAGCATCTTAGTTGCTCTTCTCTGTGCTTTTTCCGAAGTCTCAACATCTTTGATGACCAAAACTGGATGCAAGTGGGGTTTTACTAAAGTTTTTTTTTAAATATATTTTTATTAAGTTTCCGTTATTACAACATAAAACACCATGATTTCAACAGCATTTTTTGACATCTACACAGGTTTTTATCTTATATATCTTAACACATTGTATTTACATTTATCTGATATTAATCAATGACTTTTTCTATAATTATTCATATATATATTTTACATATTTACATTTTACTTTCTTAAGGCTTCTTACAGTTAGATTTCTTGTCTTATTTCTTGTTTCTGTTTGCTACCCAATCCAGATTAAAAAAAAATATATTCAGAGTCTTCTCTTTCTTTCACTTTCAGTGTTAACATATTCATTTCAGCACTTTCCATTATTTTTTGTAATATTAGGGGTTTTACTAAAGCTTTATATTCGCTGGGACTGGTTCCCCAGAAGCCCTCGGCTGCAGTGGGTCTAATGTGTTTCTGCTGGTCTCTGTGTTGGGAAGGTGATGTGCTACTTCACCTTTCAGTTGTAATTCTTTCTTTGAATTGACAAGCTTTCTTTTTTCCTCACCAGCTGAACCATAGCAGTGGTTTCCGGCTGGAATTCTTCAGCTGTAAGACTGCTGCAAATATATATCAAGATATTTTTCCAGGTAAGAAGACAAACCTACATTTGCCCAACGGCAGACACAAAACCCATTTTCACTTTTTGCCATGTAAAGCATCACCTGGGTTTTTATTTTTTTCCTCATCTCCATGCCAGGGTCTTGCATTAGGATCTTGCCAAAATTGTTAGGGACTCTCCCACTGAACTCCCTTCACAAACTACTCCCCAATTGCTTGCTCAGAGAGTAAAACTGAAAGTAAAGGCTTCTGCAACCCCCACATTGAATATTTAGGCCAGTGGATCTAAAAGTATTCTGTGTTTGAGGGGTGTGGTGGCCTCGTGGTGGAGCCGTCGCTTCACAGTCAAGAGGCTGTGAGTTTGATCCTAGGTGGAGGCAGATATTTCTCTCTCTGGGCACAATGAGAATATATTTGCTGAACAAAACTCCGTATTGGTGACAGGAAGGGCATCCGGCCAGTAAACACTCAGCTCCGTTCATTTGCTCAAATGCAAAGAATTATGGGGTCATTAAAACACACACAAAAAATATATAAAATTATTCTATGTTTCTAGCCCTTCGTGGCTGCATAATATAAGAATTTGAAAGAGATTTTCAGATATTAAGAACAACAAAGGAAAAATGGGTGGTTTTAGTGACCTGGAATATATTATAGATCATGTTGCTGCAACTAATGGAAGTATGCAAGACAATTAAAATAGACAAGGTGGTTTGGAATTGCTTTTAACGAAAGTGGTTTTCTCTTGGGCAGTTTTGCTTCCATGATCCTTGAATCCCTGGAGCATGAAGGTCAAAGTGATTTCAATTTTGGAAGATAATTACATGTACCTGATCATCGAAGAAACCACTCGTGAGGCCGTTGCAGTGGACGCTGCTGTTTCCAAGCGGGTAAATGGCATCGTAAGAGGCTTGGAAGAAATGATAAAATAGGGGCAGGGGGTATAGGTTGGAGCAGCTTTCAAAAACCCGCTAGGGCATTGGGTGGGGGTTTAAAAAGGTTGGCAGGTTTGAACAACGGTTCTAAATCAACAGTTGTAAGCTGAAGACTACCTGTACTGCATTCTAACTATTGTGCCACCATGGTTCATAAATAACAAATTTAAGGACTTAAAAAAAAACCTTTGGCAATAAATCTATGTGCGCTATGCTCTTTGTGAGTGTTTTTCCTCCTCTCCAGCTCCTAGAGATCATCCGAAGAGAAGACATTATTCTAAAAGCCATCCTGACTACCCATCACCATTGGTAAGTAACCTGTTTCCCCGAAAATAAGACCTATTCAGAAAATAAGCCCTGGCGTGTTTTCTTGTGTGCGCCTACCCACAAAATAAGGCCTTGTTCAGCCGGCCATCCGGCCATCCGTTCGGTCTGCTTGCTCGATGTGCTGTCGCCACAAGGCAAGGGTTGCGATGGAGCCACCCCACATTCCCTGCACCGGCTTACCTCAGGGCCCCTGCAGTCAGGCGAGCCATGCCCCAACACCTGCCTTGTGGCATCACCACCAACAGCCACGTCTAGCAGGAGCCCGTGTGTCCGCTGGCCCACTTCTTCTTCTCCTTGCTCACAGCCGCAGTGGAGAGGGAGGCTGAGCGGCGTGTTGGTCCATGGCTGCGAGACGAGGCAGGTGTTGGGGCGTGGATGGCCTGGCTGTGGAGGCCCTCAAGTAAGTCAGTGCGAGGGTGCGAGGCCCAGCTCCACCACAACCCATCCCTGCCTCGTGGCGATGGCACTGGAGCGCCACTCAGCCTACCCCACTGTTGTGGTTCGCCGGCAGCAGGTGTGGACAGTTGAGGAGAGCGAGGACTCGGGTGGAATGGACTGCTGCCTTCAGAGATTGTGGGGGCTGGCAGCAGCGATGAGGAGGTTCCCGAGGAGCCTGTGCTAAGTGGGCTGCTCGCAGGAAAGAGCAGCTGCAGCAGCACGGGCGACTCGGGAGTAAGGCTGCAAGGTAATGGCCCCTCCAGCTGTGAATCGGACGTTCTTTGCAGGAAGCAAAGACGTTTTCAAACTCGGCCTCATAGACATTGCAGTATCTTAAGTTGGACTCTGGTGTTGTGAAATATTTCTTATCTGTTATTCTTGGCAGTCTCGTACAGTTTTGGTGAGGCTCATGCTTATCAAAGTTAATTTGCAGCAGCCTTTTAACCGGGGATTCGTAAGACTCATTAAAAGGTTTCTATTCTCTTTGGTTATTGTTTATCTGATTGGAAAAGGGTTTGGGTCAGAACACCCACATGCAAGCAAGCAGAAGTAGTGGGCCTCCTATACATGGAAAACAAAAAAAAAAATGTGTAAATGAAATTACACATTGCCGAATAGAATTGAAGCCAGAATTGATTCTTTGGGGGATTTTTAAGAGAAAGTATCCTACAAAGATAAAAATATTTGATTCTACGCATCACCATAGCAGCGAGAATTGCACTCACACAATCTTGGAAAACGGTCACTATACCGACAGGTTGTTTAGTAATCCAAAAAAAAAATTTGATTGTGCAGAAATGGACAAACTCACTCTAGAGTTAAACAATAAGGAAGACTCGGAATATTACACAATTTGGGATAACTCTGTATCAATGGATAGATAGTAGGAATATGAAATGTATAGATCAGAAGAAGATATACATATGTATATGTATACAACTAATTAGAAATGTATGGAAATGTATGAATATAACCAAAAAATTTTTAGTACTGTCGAAGAAGATTGAGATTTGTAAAAAGTTGTTTTTAGATTTTACTTGCATTTTAATGCTTCAAATTTCAATAAAGGTTTTTTTAAAAAAAATATGTGAGGGGGAAGACAAGATTCCCACCAAAAGTAAGCCTTAGTGCTTATTTGGGGGCCCAAAAGAAAATAAGATTCAGTTTTATTTGGGGGGAAACACGATATTCGGTGTGGCTCTTGCATTGGTTCTTGGGGAGAAGAGAACAGCCTTTTCTCCCTCTTCGGGTTCAAGGTAGGCTGAAGTTCTGAGGCACCCATGAAAGGGGAGAGCACCTTCCCTGAGGATTTCCCCCCCCCTCCCCCCAAGTAGTTAAGTGGCGGCCGAATTCTGGAGAAATTATTGAAGAATAATTTTTAATTCTTTAAAATTGGGGGAAGGTGGAAATCCAAGAACTTCTCCGCCTCTGCAAATGGGGTGTGAAAATTTTGAAGAAAAAAAAAAACTAGAAAAGTTCTGCTTTCTTTTTGATGGTCTCTTCTCTCTCTTCAAATTGGAGACAGCGGAAGAGAAGGGGGAAAAAACAAAACAACCCTCTTCCTCCCCTTTTCCCAAGGGATCACGCGAGAGACAATGAAGAACTAGCCAAACTTTATCCTGGCCTGGAGGTCTATGGTGGGGACGAACGGGTGGGAGCTCTGACGCACCGAGTGACTCACGAGCAGGAATTAAAGGTAAGCATGGAATGGATCACACCCTTTGCGGTACCCCAGGATGGCTTAGTGGAGTGGTGCGGTGGCCTAGAGGGGGGGGCGCTCTCACCTCCCAGTCAGGAGGCTGCGAGTTCGATTCAAGGCAGAGGCAGATATTTCTCTCTCTGGGAACAATGAGAATATATCCGCGGAATAAAACTCTGCATTGCCAACGGGAAGGGCATCCGGCCAGTAAACACTCAGCTCCATTCGGTTGCCCAGACTCCACCCTGTAAGGGATTATGAGGTCATTAAAAGATGATGATGAGCGTATGGCTTAGTTACAGGGAAGCCTAAAACTACCCACAGTAATTTTATTTGTATGTGACATCATCACATACATGACACAAATGGATTTGTTCTTTTCCCCCCCAGCGCATGCCCAGATGCTGTTTCATGTGTTAGGGTTAGGGGAATCTACTTTGGGTCACTCTCTGTTGACTCCTTTTAGCAATTGATCGGCATTTAGAGTGCAGTTGAAGTTTGCAACCTCCTGCCCTGCCCTTTGGGACAGCGGGCCCATGCTCAGCCTGTCGTGCTGCTGG